ACTTAGACTTGATGGGGGGGCAGGGGTCATCTCTGCCCACTCAGCTCAAGGCTCACCACTGGACATGACGTAGTCTCGATAGACTGGGATGTGGAAGAGGCCAGCCAGCACGGCTATGGACGGCCGAAGCCCAGGGAATTTTTGGGAGAAGCCGTTGCTCTCGGTGCCGAAATTACAGAAGATTCCGGTGCTCATGACCCCGTGTGGGTGAGCGCCCAGCACGTAGTTCCGGTCAGGGGGTAGCTCGGCTGTTTTCACCAGCTTCAGAGGACCCGGCAGGATGAAAGGAGGGAGGCATCAAAGGCGAGACACCAGCTGGAAAGGCTTGCTCTCTACCCCAACACACTTCAGAGTTCCAGGTCTTAGGACGGGGTCCAGGGCCCACTCCTGAACAGCGTTCACTCCTGTCCCACTGCCTGAGGTTCTGCCGGGGGGCAGGCCTCAGGCTCCGGCATGGGGAAGGCTGGTAGGTGAATGGACAAGAGGGAGCAGGCAGAGTCTCTGGGGGCGGCCTGTTACCTCGATGGGGTAGTAGTCGCGGAGGTGTTTCCAGACCGCCCAGTTCCTGACCCACGCCGAACGCCTTCCCCCTGCGGGCAGCACGATACGGGAGGCAGGATGGCTGGAGGTGCCCTTGCACCCCCTCAGCTCCGGTTTCCTGGGCCCCCCCAGAGCTTACCTCGCTCGGGCGTGTCCCAGTCCACATAGAGCCACACCAAGTACAAAACAGAGAAGGACCAGAGGGACGTGAAGAGGAGGAAGAAAACAAGAAGGGAGAAGAAAGAGCCTGGGCGAAAGAAAAATGAATTCACTTCGGAAGCCCAGGCATTTCATCCGGTCCCCCTCCCTCCCTCCCCACGGAACACGGGCCGACTGTTTCCTCCGGCCCCCTCCCCATCTCCTCTGGCCCATTTCTGACCACTTGGTCACTCTGTGCTCAGGCGTCCAGGTCCGTCAGCCAGCCGTCTCCCTCCGGGCCCTTCTCCCCAGGACCCGTGCCTCTCCCGGTCTCACCCATGAACAGCAAAGTGAGCACATATTGGCAGGCGCCCACGGCTTCTAGCTGCTGCTTCTGCGGGGTCTTCGAGGTGGCGGAGGGCCGCGGGGCAGCGGAGACGCCCATATCCGCAGCCGCCCTCCGCCAGCAGGACTCCAGGACTCAGAGGACCGACAGCGAGGTTTTGGGTCCGGAGGAGCCCGCCTTCCGGGCCGGGTGGAGTCACAGGAGGGCCTCTCCGAGCCGCGGCGGGGTGTGCGAGCGGGGAGACCTTCGGATCAGAGCCCCAGCGGCCTCCTGGCTCCTTCTCGGGCAGACCGCTCTTTGAACTGGGCGGGCCGGGGGCGCGGGAAGGGTGTGCACGGGAGGGTGACGAGGGCGCCTGTGCGGGAACCGACAAGAAGCACCGGCCAGCCCGCCCGCTGGGGGCCGGGAGTCCTACGGAGGCTTCCGACCTCCACCCAGGGCGGCCCAGCAGGGTCCTGACCCGCACCCCGACCCGTGTGGGTCCCGGGCGCGTCGGG